TATATGAGTACTTTATGCTTTTAGCTCTGTTATGAGCAGCAGCCCGCGCTGGGCCTGGCCTAATGAGTAGAAACAAAGCAATATTTGCCAGCAACGCGCCAAATTCCACAGCGCAAATTTGCAAGAAGAAAAATTACGCATGGAAAATGAAAAAAAGAATAACGCCAATGAAAATATTTACGGGCAGCAGCAACGGCTGCATGAGTGTGTGTGTGTGTGTGTGTGAGGGGGTGCGTGGTCTGTGCGTTTACTGCCTCCATATGTAGTTTGGATGTTGATCAAAAGGCATGCGGCAAAAAGAACATGCACATAACAAATTAGCATGCATAAAACAACGTACCCGTCGCCTGCCCTCTGGCGCGTAACAGCAGCTCAAGTGTGTATGGGTGAGCGTGTGTAAGTGTGTGTGGGAGAGTGTGCACAAAGCAATATTTATGCTCATGTACGCATATTTTTGGAGTTGTAGCATAAGATGCCTCCCTCTCAGCCAGCTTTTGCAAATTAAGCATGGAATATGCGTGGCGCTTTTATTAGAAATCAGCCAAGAAGTAGTAAAGAGGAGTTGGAGTTCGGTTTGGTAAGAGATTGATGGTGCATGGAGTGGTGAAATGTTTGGCATACGTTGCATAAGGAGGCAGCACTTGACTGCTCATTTCGTAATAAAAATTCCGCAAAATATCATGAAGACTGAAGCTGAAATTAGAAGACAACAGTTGATAGCTACTGCTATACCCTGTACAAAGTTGAGCTGCTTGGTTAAAAGAACTGTGCTTAGTCGGAAATAAACTTTGAGCATGTTTCACAATGATTTAAAAATCAATTTATCAATTGAACTTCAATCCACTTCAATCTTCCTCTATACTCTGTAGGGTATCCCTCTGTCTACAATTAGTGAAAATTCCTTTCAGCTTATGCTCTAATCATAAAAGTCAGACTGCTATATTATCAGCAGCTCTGAAGAGCTCCTCAAAATATTGCATATTAAAAGTCGAATTGCAAAGCTAACAATCGTCGAACTATGCCAGCAGAGGGGCGGAAGTGGACGCAAGCTCTGCGGCTGATTACCTGCTGAGACGGCAATCTATGGGGCATACAAGTAGACAGCACTTAATTACAAATTCCAGAGCGGGGCACAAGTCAAACGCTGGCAACAAAGGATAAAGAATTAAGGATATGACTTGCCAGCTCAATGATTTGCTGTCCTGCGGCTCTTGATTAGTTGGCTCAACAAAAAAAATGAAAGAGAAAAGAAAATAAAGGACAGGAAAAACTAGAAAGAACAAAGCTTCATTATGCACAAGTTGTTGTTTTTGTAGGCGTGGCAACGTAATGAAGTCGCCAGCGTTGGGAAACGCTTCGTTTAAACGAGCGCCTCAAATTATGCAGCAAATACGTAAGCAGCAACTACTGCTCGCATATGCAAGGGATGACGATCAGAAAGCGGAGGAGAAGGCTGCCGCGGAGGCAGGAATAATATAAATGTGCATATGAATTTTGAAGAAACGGCAAAGGATACGCGCCTGCTGCCTGCCAGGCAATGCAGAAGTGCACTTACTTCCCAACACTAACACACACTCACACACTCAGATGCATGAAGAGTAAATTTATGCTTGTGTTAAAGTTTCTGGTGCGTGTGTTGGCCAAAAGTTTCTGCGCAAAAACTTGAGCAGTAGCAGCAGCTGCAAAAATGTTCAGCACTCACACAAATTAAATAACAATTTTCTCTTACAATTTCGCAACGTTTTCGCTTTGGCTTTGGCTTTGGCTCTGGCTTTTCCGTTGCGTTTCCTTAACGTTTTTCTCTGCTCCAGCTTCAGCTCTCTTTTTTTCTCTACGTCGTTAACTTTGTGTGGGCGTTTGTGTTGACAATGTGTACGTATATGTGAGTGTGGGTGTGGCTAAGTCTGCATATGTTAACTGGCTGCTTGCGAAAGTGGCTCAGTAGACTTTGTCGCCAGTTTTGTGGCTCCCGTCTCAGCCTCCGGCTTGGCCCCATTCGGTTAGCGTTTTGTTTACATTTTATTTTAAGTAATTTAACCAAATGCAGCAAAGTTCTGCTTTCCACTTTTTTTCTATTTTAACCAACTTAAAAGTTACACAGCTCGAAGAGAGAATTTTTTATTAGCTCTAAAGTGCAGTTTAATGAAGATATTTTTGGTCGCTTGGCGTCCTTCAGTTTGAAATAAACGAAATGCTCAGCTGTTGCCTCAAATTTAATACAGCGAATTTTAACGGAATTTTAACAATCCAGAAGGATTATTTATAAAAGTATGCATTGGTTAGTTGAGCTATTTTAAAATCCGTTATTTTGTTTTGAAAAATTAGTTTAATTTATTATACGTTGAAAATATGCAGAGAAGGTTTACTAGATCAGGCGTGAGGCCGGAACCATAAATTTTTTTAAAGCCACTTGTTTTCTGTACTTTTAATCAGACGCATAGAATATAATTTAACCAAAGTTTAAAAAGTCCTTCAAGCTGATTGTTTAGATGGAAAAACACAATTTATATTTTAAAATTTCTTGCTATAATGCTGTAGTGCTGGGATATACAATATAATTTTGATGTATTCCAATGTTCAGCATAATCTCTATTGTTTTCCTTCCTTCAGCCTTCGCTACGTCATATAAAGTTTTGAGTCCATCATGCTTCACTTCTTTAATCTGATACTATACTTTTACCTTTTAAGCTAATTGTTTTCAAGTAATTGGAGTGCAACACTTAAAGCTATTGTTATGCATTTTGTTCAGATTTGCATATAAAATGAATGCAGCTTTAGTTACTTCGTAGTTACCGCTTGTGATAATTAAGTGTTTATCAGTTGCAATTGTTATAAATTTTATATGATTTTAAGAAAGGTTGCTACACTAACTATTGCCAACAATTTCTTTATGCTGTACTGCTGCTTCTTCTTCTTCCTTTGATAGTGCTTGCAATCGAGTATTATAAAAAAGAACCGGAAACTTTGTAGACTGAGAAACTTGCTCGACTTTTGCTTTGCAGTTTGGGAGTTTGTGCTTTTTTCTTTGTATTGTGTTTAATTTTAGAAGCAAACACAAATACGAACCGAACAACGAGTAGATGTACAAGTGCAACTACAGTGAAGCCATTTACCCAGGAGGTTTACATACACACAATTTCTGACTTGTCTGACTTGCTCGATCTTTCTCACTCTCTCTCCCGCTCTTGCTGTCTCAGTCTACCCCTGTAGTAAATTTAATCTATTGTTGTGTGTGTTGGGTCCTCGCGCGTTTACAGGTTTTATCTAACTTGTTTGCTGCCTTTTCACCTGCTGTCTCTCGCGTATCCCATATCCAGGCGTCTTTGACTCCAGCTACTAGTTACGGCTGCCAGGCAATCCTTTCTGGCTTCCACTTGATAAATATGACTATTTCACGCTGCCAGGGTACCTCGCCAACATCCCCGCCTGGTCTATTTCGTGTTTAGTTGTTTATTTGCGTTAAGCGTTAGCAGCAACGCCTCTGTCATCTTTTACTGGCTCTTCCTGTCATGTCCTGGTCCGGGTTCCCGACTGCGTATTTTGTTTATACAGCACTCAATTTCGCAGTTTTAATGACAAAATGTCTTACCTTGAAATTGCATGCGAGATAGCATTATAAGTGTATGTGGGTGTGTGGGTGCGTCTGTGTGTGTATGTGTGGGTGCGTTCATATGTTGAGTCTGTACGAGCGCCTCGCCATCTTCACTTGACGCCCACTTGAGCGACTTTGTTTGATTGCTTTGGCCGCAGCTCGGGCGCAACAGTGAGCTACCATGTTTGTATTGCACTCGAGGGTTCTAAGTCCGGGCAGCCTAGCCGGACCTGCTGCTGTCAGCTGCCAGCCGCTTAACCCACCAGCTGCCAGTGGAGCGGGAGTAGAGCGCTGGCAGCAGCAGCCAGCACTTGGCAAGTTTTATTGTCTCAGTGTTCACTTAACTTTCGCCTCGAAGATAACTAAATGCTGTCCCGCAAACGAAATGGGAAAGATAGAGGAGCAGAGTAAGAGGGAAGCTTGGAGCTGACAATATGAAATCAAAGATGTGCGCATTTTCTTTAATTTCCGGTCGCATGATTTTCCATTTTTTCCCAAGAATTCAAACAGCAACGTGTCGGCATTGTCAGCTACAGTTGAACATTTTATTCATGGCGTATACGTAATTTCTCAATGCCTGAGCGAGAACTGATTGGAATTGGCTCTGCCTTTGCCGAGTCATCAATCATGCGTCGTTTTTCCACACGCCCAGGCAAAGATTTGACAAGTGTCAATGCGACAAGATAGAGCGAAGAGCAGCAGAGACAGTAGGCGACAGAGACAGAGACAGAGACAGAGACAGCGGCAAAGAGCAAGACACACTGTGAGGAAGAAAAGTCTTTGGGCAACTTTTTGAAAATCACATGCAAAGTAAAATGTCGAAGTTTTGACAGGCAGCGCAAAGCGGCTGAGGGAGGGGGTGGGGTGGAAAGAATATTCACACAAAGCTGAGACGGAAAACTTTTCATTTGTTTTGCAACGTGCTGAAAACTGCTGTCAAAGTTTTTAATGTTTTTAACTCGCTGCTGTCACCTGCCAAGACCCGAAAGTAGGCTACATAAACTGTGCGAACCACTCCTCGCCGAAACAGTTGTCCCAACCGGACTACAGATTACAGTCGACGAAATTACATAACATATATATGACGATTTATTGATCCAGGTTGCATTTATACTGCACACATTTCGTCTTCGATTTAATATTCATTAATACAACTTTAATTCTTATTGCAAACGAAGCATTGAATTATTGCCTTTTAGCTTAAAGCTAATGTTTGATTCATTTTGTCAGTTGATTGAATTCAATAATAATACAAAATTTAATTGCTCAATTTGTATAAGCAGCTCAATAATATGCTTCGCTTGCTTCACTTGCTTAACCTAGCTAATTTATGAGCTTCGCTAAAGGATTAATTTGGAAAACTTTCACTTTACAACTACTAGTTAATGAGAGTCTACTTTTGACTTACCCTTGACTGAAACAATGACACTTTGAAGCACTTCGAGCTTCTTCTTGTTGGCCAAGGACTGGCCCACGCACTTGTAGGTGCCCGCATCCTGGTACATGACATCCTTGAGCGAGAATTGACCCGTCGGAGCCGAGCTACCGTAGCCAAGGCCGCGCAGACGTGCCGAAACCGGATCTAAGTGTGACCAACAGCCCAGGGAACCTGCAATGCGAATAGTCGCAGATAGAACAGAGAAAACATTAAAGTCATTGCATAATTTGACTTGGCGCCATTTCTAATTTAATTAATTGACTATGCCGGGGCACGCAAGTTTTAATTTCTTTAATTGATGCCGGAGTCGTAAACAACAAAAAGCTTCCACTTCCATTTGTCAAAGAGGGCCCAGCCCCACCACCTACGAGTCCTAACTGATATTTCGGCTGGGGCCATTGCGTCGCCTCGTTTGCTGGCTGCCTAAAAGTGAGCAAAGTAAATTGCACGCATAATTAATTTTCAATTGTGCTAATTAATGAATAGAGCTCCATTCACCGACTGCCAGCACAATCTTTTCGATCTGTGCCTCAATTAGTGGAACGAAAATCTAAATTGTAATTAGATATACGGCGTATCTTTCAGCGTCGCTCATCTCTCTATTGCCCGCGGTCGAAGTATGGTTCCTGCTCAAATGCTTTGATGTTTTTTTTATTAAAATAATATGGATACTCAAAAGGCATAGGCAGCGAAGAATTAGAAGATATCTGAATTTTAAATGTTTCATCGGATAAATTCTTTACTAAACGTAACATCTAGCAGCTGGAAAACAATCCAGTTTCTACTTAAGATCTGGCCTTAAAATTTGCTTACCTTGTGGACACTGTAGTGTGACTGCACCGCCGAGCTGCACCTCTAGCTGCCCCTTGTTGGGATTGTGCGACGCAGCCGCTACGGAGACATCTTGATCATCTGGTTCCGATGTGACATCCACCGAATCGTCTGTGAATATTAACAGAGACAGAAAAAGGAAATGCGTAAGAATTTATGAACATTTAAAGAGTTTCACTCTGGCAACCCATGTGCGGGGCCATAAAATATGATAAGCTTGTCAGCAATTGTCAAATGTGACAATATTTCAATGACAAAAAAATGGAGGTGGGTTTAAATGGGCGTTGGCAGTTCTTAAGCAAAACAAATTGCGCGCTGCGTTGACAGGATGTCGGTGACACTTAGGTGACTGTGAAGCACCTGAGTCATGGCCACGAGAAGCTGCCAGCGAGCAGTACAATGAGTTGGCACTTCCGATTTGGCGTGATTTGACTGACTATTGAAGTTCAGCGGTTGTGTTGCTTGAACTAAACGTGAAAAACGCTGTGCAGGCAACTGGAAAATTGACTGAACTTCAGGCAGCAGCACAAATTCATAAATAAACACTAAGAAGAAGCACGATAAAGAAAAGACATTACGCCGCTTCGTTCTAATTTCGTTGCCAGCCGAAGAAAATGACATCAAATTTATGCGACATATTCGCATATTTTGTGCTTAACAGGGAAAAAACTCAGAAACTTTGGACTGAGAGCTGCGTAAGCTTTGTGTGTGTGGGTGAGTGTGTGTGTATGGCTTAGAGCTGAGTCCATGTCGTGCTTTCGTTCGTGAAACCAAAATGCACGGTGAAAGAAAATGTTTTGCGTTTAGAAATCATGTATGTAAAATTTCCTTAAAGAAACCTTTAGCAAGGCAGAAAATATTGGTTAATTGCTGGCAATATAGAGTTAAAAGAAGACAATTTTTTTAGTTTTATGCGAGTTTTGAATACTATACTGGCAAAAAAAAAAACAATGAGATCTATCAGAACAAATAACCATTGTGAAGCAATTAAAAAACAAATTATAAATGGCACGTATATTCAAAGAATATTTACTGTATAGTCAATAACCACAATGAATAAAAAGGCATTTCAAAATGATATCGCTTGCAGAAGAATTTTTCAACATTTGGTCAAAGTTGTTGCCGCCTCGTATGGCGAACTGAAAATGCGAGCATCTCTTGTGTGCTGGTCTGTGGTGTGCTTTAAATTTCAGACTGCCTTTTGTGTCACATACTTTATGGCGCTGTTCATATTACATATAAATTACAATTTGCGTTGACGTGCGCCTAAAAGTATGCGGCGTGGGGCCTTTTGTTTGAGACCGGATATCATAACAATAAGTTGCCCAAGTGGATGCCTGAACAAAAATCATGACAAAGGACCCAGGCAAATTGTCTGTTCGCATGTGTGTCTGTGTGTGTGGTAAGGCCGCTGGCTGCACGTAAGTCTTACAAAGTGTTGTCTACTTATCAGTGCCGCAATTCGCTGCCATTTCAAATGTCTGGCAATTTGAGGTTGCACCTCAAAGCACTCATAAAATTAGCCTTTGCCAGCGTCGAAAACCAACTGCTTAGCTGGGCTGCCGCACAATTAACAAAAACTACTAATTACAAACGGTCGGCGGCCAGCCGAACGAATCCCTTTACAAAAACGCACCCCAGACACACATTAAAGAAGTGTTGAAACCCTTAAAGTTCCATGAGTCGAGCTGAGATTTGCACGAGGAGGTGAATAGGCTAGGAGGTGCGTACTCTAAACGCCAAAGTAACAATTAATTGTAAGCTCATTTCGAGCCGAGTGCCTTCGTCGCATGTCAATCAGTTGGCATTGGCCCTGGGGTGAAACAACCCTCGACGCGGTCAGCAACCCCTGCAAATTTTATTGCTGACAATAGCGTAAAATGCTGTCTGCGGGGTGCTAGATAGTCATTGAGGTGGAGGACATAGGCAGAGGCGTGTTGCTTAGTCAAAATCACGTAGTTATAAACATTTTTTATTGCTCGAACACAAAAAAAGACAAAGCGACGTTTCGCTGCGTAAATTGACAAGTGAAAACTCAGGGCAAATTGAGAGAATGAATGAGAATTCCCTCTCTCTATTACTTTCTCTGAGTCTGCCTGTTGTCGACTGACGGCTGTCTATAAAATGTCTAATGAGCTCAGCTCGACTGACAGACATTTGTCAATGGACAATGCTCGCGGCCTGTTTGATGGCGACTGATAAGAACTTGAGACTGCAAATTGTAAAATGGAACTCGGAGTTTGTCGCGCTGGGGCGAGAGTTTGTCGTTGAAACGCGTAATTTGAAAAGGAAGGCATTTGATATATTATGAAATTAGATAATAGTTAAGAGAGGGTGGCAACAGAAGAGACAACCAGGAAATAAGAGCAAACAATAGATGAAATGCGCACACAATTCGATTATGCTTTAAACTTTAAGAATTATTATTTTGAAAGTTCTAAAAGTTTCGTATCGTTTTCTTATCAATTAGCAATTTGTTGGTATATATATATCTATATATATTTGTCTATATACTATTATCTTAATATCTTAAGTATATCAGTATTCGGGCTACTCGTTTTTATTTTCATACTAAAGTATTTAATTTTAAGCAACCTATTTATGAATTCTATGGAAATAAATACCAATTAATATCAATCGATCACATTTAAAAGTATGTACGTATGTCGTGCCTGCTAGTTGTAATTTATACTTTCTGACAATGTAGTTCTTATCAAGTCCAAGATAAACTTAGCACCAGCGGCTAGTACTATGAAGTAGAAGCACCTTTCGTTAGTCTCATTTAATCGTTATTGTGTGCGCTAATTAGAATGTTGTTTTGGCAAAGAGCAGTAAGCATTGTAATAGTTGGCCTCAGTTTGGCTCTTGTGCCCTACGTGGGTAGCGATCAAAATGCCACGGGCTTCAATTGTCCATCCAACTACACGAAAGTGGGCAACAAGTGTCTTCAGATTGTGAACGGTGAAATAAACTGGTACCAGGCAGAACGTGCCTGTCACTCGATGGGCGCCAATTTAATAAGCCTGCAAAATTCTGAAGAGTTGGACCAGCTGAACAATTGGCTCAACATTGTCGCACCTCTTGCGCTGAGCTTTTGGTCCTCGGGCAACAGTTTAGGGCAAGAGGGTCATTACTTCTGGCAGTCCACTGGAAAGCAGGCGCAATACCTACCCTGGGCCAAGGGTCAGCCCGTCTTAGCCAATGGCAATTGCATCATGCTTTTTGCCAACTATACCTATGTGGACCGTGTTACAGTCGAATCGTATAGCCTGGTTCTTGAAAACTGTCTCTTTGGCTCTCCACCTATCTGCGAAGTGCCACCAAGAAGCATTGAGAAACGTCTTTGTCTGCAGCCCGGAACTTTTGAAATGGATTATGTGCTGTACAATGACAATTAAAATACAATGAAATGTTTCGGGTTCTTCAACAGTAAATTCAATTTATTTCTAGCATAAGAAAAGTAAATTTTGTCAAAATTCGTATTAATAAACATGCGTTAATTAACTGATCGCAAACATTTCGGTAATTTTTTTACCTCTTGAGTCATAGTGCACTCTGAATTTAAGCCGACTGTTTAAGAGTAGAAGTTTTTACACCAATATTTTCTCAAGTTCCGCACTTCAAATTTATCTCTTCGCATCTCGAACTCAACCCACACATTGCATAGCATAATTCCCAGCACTTGTTCCACGCATATTTTGCTCAATGGCCATTCATAAGTATATACACCCCGCACCGAACTCTGCCCATAACCGAAAAGACGAGAAAAGAAAAGCAAATAAACAAAAGCAAACAAATGTGCATCAAGTAACGTCCATATGTCCTCATAGATGAGGGCTGAGGCGGAGTTGGATTGATGGAACGGTGAGGACTCGTGAATGTCTTCCGCATGGCATATAAATCCGAAGCAGAACAAGAGAACGGCAACAAATATGAAGAGCAAACAACAAACACTAATGCAAACAAGAGGAATCAATATGCCAGACAGAGCGAGGCCATAAGTGTGAGAGCACGATATATATAGAGAGAGCGAGGCAGAGTTACATCATATTTCAGGGGATAAGGGGCTGACGGGCGTTGGAGGGCTGTAGTGGGTCTCGCCACCAATCATTAATCATAAAGCATCATCATCAGCATGTTGGCGTTGGCTTCAAGTAGTTCCCCTCGAATCGCCCAGCCAGGCCAGCCTGAAGGACTCTGAAGTGCGTTGAATTCTGGGCTGTGGTATGTGGTATGGGTTGGGTTCAGTGCCGCCTGCCAAATGCAGGCCAGTCAGTCACACAGCAACCCGAAAATCCTCGTCCGAAATCCGCACCCTGCTTAAGCAACCAGACAGAGTGAATCAGCCACGTCAATATGTCCACACACACTTCCTTTGTGCTGAATGTGAGTGTTACTCGGATCATAAATCCTTCAAAACACGCATTGCTGTCGTTTACATATTGAAAACTTATTAAGTTGTTTACGCATACGACTTTTGGTCAAGCATAGAATTTCTTCACTTCACTTATAATAACTATATATACAAACTAGTATCGTATTTTCAAAGGCTGCACGTTTCATTTTCATTTGGCGTCTGTAAAAATGCAACATCATATTTATTCATGAATATGAAGCTGCAACAGCAGCAGCATCAGCACAGAGAGCTGAGGCAGCAATCAGCTTAACTTGCAAGCTTCATAAACAGCGAGCGGAAGCCGAACCGTTAAAGGTTGGGGCGGGGCTGCACGCCTCGTCAAGTGGAAGCGAAGGCGCTCTGTGGTGGGTGCATTTGATTGCGTTTGTGTCTTGGTTATAAATTTTAATTTTTTGCGCAGTTTCAGCTTGTATAGAATTTGCCGCTTTTTAGTAGAATATATATATGTGTATATATTTATATATAGATATAGACAACTCTTTTTTAATTTCTACAGATGCTGCGTAAGCGTGGAGGTTTACATCTGCCGTCTACGCGATTAATTTGCAATGAGCTGATTTTGAAGATGAATGCACTAGAAGTGCACAACAAAAAGCAAAAATAAAAGGTTGGAAATGTAATAATAGACAAGCATACAGAAGGTCCATAAGAAATGGATATGAGGATTGAGCCATAAAGAAGAAGATAAAGTAAAAGGCATTCAAAAGATTTCGATATATATATATATAAAACAGGAAATCAGAAATATATATACAATTTTTTAAGAATCTGAAATAAAAATTATTAAAAAAGGATGTGAAAAGCACGAAAAAGAAAGCTGTAAAATTTATAAGATTTTTTAGTTAATTAAACTCAATTATAATCAGTTTTGTTTATAACCATTACAATTCACAAAGATATTTTATTCAAGTTTTTCTATAAACATTGACAATGGTAAATAATGCATATATCCTAGTTTTTATTATCTCATCAGTTCAAACTGCTAAAGTCGTTAATAAATACGTATAAGCAATCTGAAGCTATTGAAATTTCCTAAGCACTTTTAAAAGCTTTTAAAATATAATTTTTACACTAATTCACGCTTATTTCAGACGATAAAAAATTCAAGATTATTATCCACAATGAGTTTTTAATATTTCTGTAAGTTGTCGGAAGCAAGAACGCAGCAAAAAGTAAAGAAAAATCAAATGAGTTTTGGGTTTCATTTGAAGCCAAATAAAAACAAGTCAAATAAAATTTTATTGCGAATCTTTTTTGTGCTGGCTCCTCAGCTCGCAGACGAGAGGAATTTTCGGCCAGACCTTAGACCAAACATATACCGAAATGTAATCGCCGGCTATAAAAACAAAAGCAGCAAACAGAAAACTAATAATCGTGCGCGCCGATAAACACAGAAATTCAAGCGGGGTACCGAATGGTCCAACATACTTCTACTTCAAAGGGCGACGTCGCAGAAGAAGGAGAGAAGGCTGCTGGGCAAGCCAGAAAAATGCTTCATATCGCGTGGAAGAGGCGAACGAACTTAACGATAAAGTTAAACCGCGATAACCAGCATGACAAAGGATAATGTATAACATGCGCAAGGACATTGCCGATTAGCCATAGCCGCCAGTTGAGGCGTATGAAGTAAGCAGCGATGGGGCGAGATGAGGATGAAAATGCTTACGATAGCGTGTAAAATTAAATTTTATTGTAATGCCCCTCTGAGCCAACGGACAAATGTGTTTTTCCAATTGGGGACTTTCTTTTCCAACACAAATGTTGCGTACGTTGTTTGTATTTTGTTTTTCTCTCAAAGCGAAGTAGTCAATAGATGGATGGGGCAGCAAGAGGGGGTGCATTGCAAGGAATTGGGGTGGACATACTCAAGTTTCGATGGGTTGCATTTTTATAACAGTTGGCTGAGCAAATTAGTTTAGTGCTGGTTACGATGCCATGTAACCACAGACCTCAGTGAAAATAAGAAATGAAAGTACTTCAGAATTGGTTTATACAAGCTTAACAATAGACACCCTATGCTGAATGTATGCTTTGATTATATTAATCATATAAGAAACTGAAAAAATGATTGTATTAATTTATTTAAGAAATCTTAGAAATTTAATTATATTATGAATCATGTTATTTAAACAACAAAGCAACTCAACTCAACTGAAGATTAATCACAGATTCTTTATTGGAAAAGATAAGTTGATAAATGTTTTAGCTAATTTCCAATGCATTAAAGTAATCTTAGATTCAAGTGTAATCTTTTTTTTTTGAATTTATTATTTACTAACATTTTAATACAAAACAACGCAGTTAATTTATGAGTTACCAACAAAATAAACCCATGTAGCATACAATCTAAATACGTATTTTTTTCAGCGAATATCTGAACTCTAGAAACAAGTATCGGACAAATCGATTTGGCAATCGAAATTGCCTTATATCCAGTTTTCTAATCCGAAACTTTTCTTAATTGCACTTTGTTAGCCAAACATCAGAAACATGATGCAGGCCACTCAACATTAATTAGCCTCAATTCGAACTTTAACTCATTAATGAGGCAGCCAAACAAACTCCTGTCCAGGACATACCTGAACCTTCAGCGCCCACACAATACATGTCGATGGCTGTGGCCAAGCGCAGATGTGTCTTATACACTGCCACTTTTTCTGCCCAGTCTCGCCAGACGTACGTGTCAAATTAGCGACGTTTTAACAAGCTCAGCGCGTCCGTAAGTCGTCAGCTTGTCCTTGTTCGGGTGCTGCATGATAGCTAGGACGCGTCCTTCGACCGGCTCTGCCGGCAAATCAATCACGTGAAAGTGGCTAGCGCAAAAGTTTGAGAAACTACGTCAAATTGCCTACTTTTGTAATCGTCGACGTTGGTCGCGCTGTTGACTTTAGCCGTTCGTCCTCGGCGTGCCCTGGCATGTCCTGTAGTTTTTGGGCGCTGCCGCCGTGTAGCACGCTGATTGCTTTTTCATTGCATTTTGTCAGGCGTTCTGTCCGTTCGTCCGCTGTTCCCTTGTCCCAGTCGACAGCAAAGTTTTCTTTTGCTACCTGCACGGCGTTTTCCAGTTCAATGGCTGCTCGACGCGAGGACGAAGAGGCACGGAAGCTTGGTAGAAAACATATCGTCAGCAATTAAGCGCGCATTCAAACGTCTGTCTGGGCTGCTCGGTTTTTCTTTTCGATTTGTTGCCAGCGGATGCTTAAAATCAAAATGCGATTTATCAGTTTTTCTTATTTTCCAACCGCTGTCGATTCCCTCCCTTGGGGACCTCCAGCTGCAGGTTATACTTTCGGTATGAGGGCTTAAAATTTTGCAATTTTCTCAGTTTTTATTTCAAGCGCCATTTATCAAAGCTCTGCAGCTGTTTGCTAGTTTATGACAGCTAATCCTTGAATACTATATCTTAAAGATATTGCCTTCAACTTTATCTACCGACACACAAACCCATGCAGCTAGAGTGGATCTGGGAGGGCTTTTGTTCTATATGCTGACTGCTGCCAGTTCGATTTGCCATTTGGCAGTTTCGTAAACGTTTTACAAATTGATTTATGTGCTTAACATGTTGCCATGTTTGTAACCCCCAACAAACCCCGCGAAACGTCTCTCACAATTAGATTTCGCTCCAAAATCAACGGCAAAAGTTTTCGGCAAGCCTCACCAAAAAGACAGCCAGACCCAGATAGGGAGAGAAAGAGGTTGTGAACAGGGTATATAGAAAGAAGGGGTCTAGCTGGACGGCCTGGCACATCAATCATCGATAAATGTCGATATGTCGGTCCAAAAGGCACGGTGCGTGTTTTTGCCTTCACTTCTTGGCCTTTTCGGGTGCTTTTATTTTTATTAATAAAGCATTTGTTTTCCCATAATGAGCAGCGACAGCCGCCTGTCAGGATGCTTTTCGCATTTTCTTTTCTACACTGCCCATCCGTTTTCTTGTCGGCGCATAAAAATTTCAACGTAGACGAAAATCTTTCCCCAGGGTCAGCTTGGGCTGTGGGGCGCTTCAATGCCTGCGGCGGCATTCGCATAAAAAAGTGGCAACACTTTGTCAAGTTGTTATTACCAATATATATATATATATTTATATATATTTTTTTTTTCTTTTTTTGCCTTGCCTTTGTTTATGTACTCTGCTGTCTTGCGCTATCGCCATTCGCCTTTGTTATGCGGCTTCTGGCACTCATTTTGTGTTTGTCATGATTGATGAGCCAGAATTTAACGAATTGTGGGGCTTGCCTCTGCGGGAGGGAACGTATTGATTGGGTTAGTTGGCGTTAACTAAGAGGCGCAAGTGGTATGGAGTTCGATAGTTAATAAAGGGACTTGTCTACTTTTAAATTTTTTAATTTCACACATTTTTTTAATTTTGCTACACAGTCTCTTACGGGGCGGGGCGCCCAGTTCCAGTTAATCTTTAATAATGACCTGTGTTGGAATTGGTCTTTAGTCAAACTGATGGGAATTCTATCGGTAAAGAATGTGTTTTATGGCCAATATATATATTTATATTAAGTGTGTCACTTTATTGTAAATATGTTTTACTGACTGTCAGTAAAATTTATTCATATCTTTGAGTCATTTAAGTTAAATTTTGTTGTTAAGTTCGGTTCCATTTTGAATTCTATATTATAAAAATTAAATTATTTAGATTTGATGTGTTAAAATTTGTTAAATTTTTTTATAGTTTGTTAGTTTTAATAAGTGCAAACTTTTTCAAACTTTTTATAATTTATTTTCATATACCATTAATGTTTAATAAAATTAAGATGACCCTTGATTTACAGATTCATTTCTAATATACGCCCTCATTGCAAAAATCTTAAGGACTTGACATACGCTTTTACTTCCAAAAAATCGTTGCCCATTTAGCTAATCAAATTTGATTTTCGTTTAGCTCCATCCTAGATGAAATTGACTAAAAAGTTTATTTTGGCTGCTTGCTTTTAGGCAGCTGCGCAACATCATTTGCTAGCAAAGTGGCTTCTGTCAGCAACATAAATTCAATAAAAATAATAATAAAAATATTTACAAGCATTAACATGCGTTCAGCGCGTAAAATGTGCCTCAAACTGACAAGTTGCAGCTCAAACACAAATCTTGAGCCGCAAAACGGCAAAATATTGACAGAAAAATGGCGCACAAGTGTGTGTATGTGTGATGGTGTGTTTGTGATGCACAGACAGAGGGTTGACAGTGTCACACACCCGCTCAATGCCAATGCCAGTGCCAATGAAATTTGCCACATTTTGCATATGGAATATGGAGGGTAGCGAAATGCTTCAAAGTATGCAGCAGGAGGGCATCACCATCAGAGCGAGTTTTAGAAGAGAGCAAGGAGAGAAGACAGCCAGCGAAGCAGGAAGGAGAAGAAACATTTTGATGATGGGACGCACCATGTGCGAGTGTCGTTAAAGCCACGCAGCAATTTTTGGCAATTTTTCGCAGTTTTTTTTTTTTTTTCGTTTGGAGGGCGTACAATATTTATTTTTTTGCAGTTGTATTATATGAGAACTAATGGCGAAAATATTATCACGCGCCATTTTGGAGGCAATTTCACGCATACGAGCGCTAATTTATTTGGAGTACTTATAATCGTGGTGGTACTTACAGCGCACACTGAGGTAATAGCCAATCGAGGAGTATTGAAAGTTGAGATGCCGTGATGTGCACTTATACCAGCCGGAATGCTCCCGCCTAATGGAGGTAAAGTTGAGGAAACCATCGCCCGTTTGCGGTACCTGCAAATTGCACAGAGAAAGAGAGAGAGAGATGAGTGAGTGAAAAATTGAGACAGATTCGGCTTGGAGGTGGGCGGGAAATGAGTTTCGCTCGGTCTTATGCGTAAACAATTTTTGGTAATTAAGGCAAGGCAAATAGTTGGTCCAAGAACTTTTTACGCGACAACTGCACGAAAATCCATTTAAAACTTGCTCCTTGCTCAAAAATCACAAAAGTGCTCGCAAAATCCAGATCCAAGCCAGAGCCTACGTATGCATAAGTTTTATAAGACTTACCGGCGTGTCACCGTCGTCCTTCTGCCAGCGCGGCGTACTTGGAGGATTTGAGTCGACATCGCACTTGAGGCTAACTTCGATGCCCTCGCGCAGCGGATAACCAAAGCCAGGTGTGCGCGAGATGGCGAACGAGGGCGTATCTGCAAAGAGGGGAACAGGAAAAGCAGTTGAGACAAGGGTTATAAGAATGGATATAACACACAGATACGATGAGATTTTCGGTTAGTTATTTTCCTGTCTGCCTTCGCCTGGCGACTGCCAACCAGCAACAAAAAGCTAGCAGCTAGCAACTGGCGACTGGCGACTGTGGCAACATCTACAAAATAGTTTTTTAATTAAAAAATTACGACACAAAAATAAACGCCAGCAGAAACTTTTATAATTAAACTAAATGCAAATGTGTGTTTTCTCTTCTTTTCTATCTTTTTTGTCCGTATGCTCTTCAGCAGCAACCACAAATCTAACGGGACTGTGTTTGAAGCAAAACATCTTGGCAAATTCCACACCAACCAAAATAAATATATGACAATAATAATGGAAACTGTATTATTGGCAGAAGAGTGAGCATAATATTAATTTAATCATCATTGACTCTATAAAAGCACCATATCGTCTGCTTCAGATTGGAAAATGGTAAATAATGTATTATAAAATAAAAAAGAAAATAATAAATTAATATTCATATTTAATATTCTGCATATATTTATACAAATTTTATTAGAATTATATTATTGACTGCTAGTTTATTCAGTCCGATAATACAAGAAAATATCAAGTAAATTGTTTGTTTCATTTGAATATTAAAAGTCACTTCAATTTCTTGTGCCAGATGGGATTATTTAACATGTTAGACGAATACGATATGATATTAAATGAAACTCCATTTGGGTGCCAATCAAAAATCTATTGAATGTATGTCTAAAAGCTATCGACAAAATGCAAATCTCAATGTAAATGTGAATGCAAATGTAAATGTAAATAATATGAATGTCTGGCAAAGTGACACGCCCACAGAGATGCATATATTTATATATACAAACATATATATTTGTATCTTGTTGCATTCAGTGCATATTCATAGGCATAAATCAAATGTTTTTTAATTAGTGTTAGACATACGGGCCAGATGCCAACAAAAAAATGTTACAAAATCTGAATACAACGATTTCAATCTTTTCAATTTTTCGCCGCTGCTCTCTAGCTCTTTCCCTCGTTGTCTGTCTCCCTGTTCCAGCTCTGTTCATTGTGGGCTTTTGTAACTAATACAATTTGATTATGCAGGGCAAATGAAATTTGTTTGTCGGTTGTTTGCCAAACTATTCAATAGACATTCATCTGAGCTGGGGTATCTGTGTGTGTATGTCTGTGGGTGTAACATGCATATGGACAGTTGTCAGACATCATACATATATGTATATGAAAGGATGTCTGCCTATGGACACTCAACGATGCCCGTTTGCCTTTTATGTGGCTAACCGAGCAGACGAGAGGGCTGACGGGGTTGACAGGTCCTTGTCTGGTTAGGTCCCTGCCGTCGTGGGCTTTCGTCTATCAATTTGTTTGGGTAAAAATCTAAGCCACAAGCTCAAAAAGAAGCGCAAAAATTGTTGTGCTCGTTTAACTATGCATAACATTCAATTCCAGCAAACTGTCTCTGTCAAATTTCACCAAAACAAATATACATTTAGGAAAAAGGTATTGCCTCTACTTAAATTCACAGAAAGATATGGCCTATTTCAATTTGGCGATTTACATTGTTGGAATGTTGTCTTTAAATTGCTCGAATGTTGAATTTAATTTTTGAAATTGTTTTTAAATTGCGAAACCATTTAAGGCTCGTCTCGTTGACTGTGCGATTGATGTCCTTGATTTGCCTGTCAACTGTCTGCATAAAAATGTAAAAATTAAATGCAACAACAACAACAATAGCAATGGCAACAACTACAAACACACAATACAATCCTCAACTGTCTGAGCAAGTGCTTTCATGTGTGTGCATTTTAATTTATACAACCGTAACAAACAATAACATTGGGTATGGTGTAGGCAAGGGCGGGAGAAGGGGCTTGGGAAAAAAGCAGGAACTGTTCTCAGTTGTTCTTTGTTGGAAAACGTTGCGGTTGGGCCGCGTCTGTTGTTGTTGTTGTTGCCGTTATTGTTGTAGGCCTTTTGCTGTTGTTATTGCGGTTTTTGCAATTTTCATGCCTGGCCAAAGCTCACACACATTCACATACGTACACATATCCATCGTGTGTAGTCAGATTCCACATTCCCATACCGAAACTTAGTGATGCAAATCCCGCACGGCTTTTCTATATTTTCCAATCATTTTCTTGCCCTCTCTGCTTCACCCGTTCTATGGCTACCTTAGCATTTGTCATGGCATTATGTGGCTTGACGGGCATTAATAAAGCAAATAACTGTGGCACTTTGTTCTATGCTGATCCCGTCCAGTATCGGCTACCAATTTGAGCACGTGTCTGCGGCTTTGTTACTGCCAATTAGTGCGAGTCCTAATTGCCGCTGAGGACGCAGTCATTGATTTTGATTTGCAGTCGGTGTTGATGGCAGAACAAAGTCACGTGGATGCTGACAGATGGCTTACAATGGACAGTATTCACCCTCTTTCCTCGTTTTCTGCATTGTCTACTTAAGTGAGCTGCTACTTTGATCACTCAAAAAGATTATTTGTGTTCTGGATTCGTCTTTTCCCGGGACAATCAAAATTGTTACGCAAAACTATGCCATGTTACAGTGTGTCTGACTAGTAGACAGCAGACTATTTGGTTTGCATAAGGACTATCCTTCGAAATTGGCTGAAACATATGCTTGGGATAACCTTGAAAGCGAAGAAGTTTTCATGCAGGCATTGCTGGGTTCTTTTCAGCTCTTTAAAATTACTGGAATCATTTGCTGTTTTCAGTGACCTTGAACTGTGTTGTGGTTAAATTGTATATATCAGATAAATATCTGAAGCAAATGCATCAGACTTATAAGTGCTAATCAACTTGTTTAAAAATTGCTTTTTGACTTTGCCACAGATGTTTGCCTTTGCTTGCCGAATGGCAGTTAATTAAAAACTTTGTCAAAGCTGTTACTTTTGATTTCTCTGTGGCAGTGCTTGTTTCTTTTGCTGCTCTTGTTGACATATCCCTCTCTTATAAAGCCTTGCTCCATTTCCATTATATTATTTTTTTTAGCTGCTGCCTCTGCACTTTCCATTAAATAATTTCACCTTTGCTTTCTTTTATTGCTGCAGCTGCAGCTGCATAATAATTTCTTTGCCTTTGTTTTCCTTTGCCCATCGCCGACCTGTGACTCCACATAGCCTGTCCCATGGAGCTGGCCCGCCTCGTGCACCTGCCTCATGCCACAGCCATGATATTATCCTTTGGCCACGCCCAGGCAGTTGCGTACCTCGTGGCGTGTGTTAACTTTAGCAATTTAACTTTTTAATCAACATTTGCTTTTTGGTTTTCACTTTTACTTGTCGCACTCGCACCACCTGCCCCACTTGCCTCACTCTCGCTATCGCTCACTGTGTTAATTAAACAAGGTGCGATATTCCTCGTGTTGGGCTTTTATTAAAAACTTTTTCAACATTTAAATATGATGCCAAATGAGTGCATGACTTACTGATTGACAGACTAACTACGCTTACACACACATAAACTGATATGTGCAATTAGCTCTTTTCACATTCAGCAGTTAGGTAAATTAAGTTTTTTAAACGGGTTTTTTATTTCTTTTTTGCTGAATAAACTTTGAGTATATATTTAAATGAATATATATAGATATATAGGAAATTGTTGAGTTTAATGATGAATGTTCATGACTTTTAGCACTTTATAAAGATGCTGGAAACTTCGATAACTGGTTGGCACAAATAGATAATTAATAATTCGATTTCCATTTTATGTTCACGTTTTAGCTGTGTACTTTAGCTGAGAAATCCGGCAACGATAGGCTTCCGGCACATCCGTTGAGTGAAAATATAATCCACTTATATGGGAAATTAATCAATTGAGATATATATATAATTGAGACTTCACTTAATGAAATATTCAGGTTATTAAAATTAAATATAATAAAATTACAGTATAATCGTAGAAATGTGGCTAAGCTTCAGACTCATTGTTAAAATGTTTAAAATGAAAAGGTTTTGTGATATACTTATAGCTTGGTAAGGTATCTTGAAAAAAATAATAAAACTTTAGAGAAATGAACCGTAAATTCAAACTTACACTGCACATCGAGGAGTAGAGAGGCATTCTGTCGTATCTTGAGTGTAGGATGTTCCATGACACATAAGATCCTTGCATTGTGATGCGCCCTGTAGACGGCGGGCAAACGGGCCTCGCTCTTGGCGCCGCTGTTGATTTTGTAGCCGTTCTTATCCTGTGCGAGGAGATAAAGAAAAGTGGTGGGATGCTTGATAAAAATTCCATTACATTTTAAGACTTAGACTAGGACAAATTGGGCGAAATGACAAGGCAGTCAGGCCAGCCAATTAGTCTGGGCCTGTTATCAGCGCGACATCATTAATTTAAATTAAAGCGTCAGGACAAGGGCAAGGGCAATGGCAATGCCAACGCCTACTCTGGCAGCAGCATTTCTACGTCGCCCGCACCAACCGCGCTCCTTGACATGCAAATTTGTTGGCACAGTTTTCAATCAATCATCCGGTGCGCCTGTAGTTGGGGACCAAGCAGACCAAACACGCAAATTTGTGGCATTTAGGGTCTACGACAAACAAACACACCCACACACACACACATATAGAAAACTTACACACACAAACATACACATACAATAAACACTCGTGTCGACATCTTCGATGTGTTTGACAGGTGGCTGCGGGTGGTGGGTGGATTGGGTGCTTTGAATGGTTGGATGGTTGGATGGTTTATGCAGCGCTTGACCAAATGTCTGCTTTTCATTATGCTCGAGTGCAAGACAAACAAATTTGGCGTAACCGCAGCCAAGTGTCCGTCCGGAGATCCGTTGTTTAAGCCGTAGCCAGAAAAGCCACCGTTATCCACACTTCATGTGTTTGCTGTCTCTCTCACTATATCTCCCAGCTCTTATGTCTGCATAGCTTGCGGTTGCGCCTGGTTTGCATTAAGACGACAATCCAATATGTCAAAGTGTCAGCCAAACGCATCGCCACTCCATTTCTCTAATGGAATGCTGAACTAGATGTAGCCAGTACTAACCTTCTCGTTCTTGATCTCCTCCAGCTCCAGCACCTCGGCGGACACCTTCTGGGCATGCCGATCCACGCCCGGACTTAGCAGCACCTCCCACGTGAGCGTGGGTCTTGGATTGCCACCTTCGCTGACGCAGGCCAAGTTCAGCTCCGAGTTTTCTTTCACAGGCACAAAGATGTTACCTGCATCCAAGCGACGCGAGTCTATCAGCAAATATGGAGGCTTGGGACGATCTGCAAATAACAATTATAAACAGCAAGACATTTTTCTATGAGTACATAAATCAAATTAGCAATAAAAATCTAGGAAGTTGCATAGGTACTTCGTATACAGCTTAGTATTATTTAATATAAATATTTATTATATATCTATACACTGCTGACTATCTTTTATTTTTAATTGCTTGTCATATATTTAAAATATGTTAATATGTAAATCAAAAAGATTCTGATTCGGAATATAATAAACTGAAATAAAGCAGCCTTTGAATTAAATTAGAAAATAGTTCAGCTAAACCAAAATTCCGAATACATACCCCAGTGACTTATCAAAGTGTAAGTCCTAAAACTTAAGAAGAAATTGTCGAGTTTTTTTAAGTAAAACACGTGCTAAAACTAGACGACATTTCACTAAGCTGGCACGCACCTAACGGCAGCGCTTTGTAGTTTTTGTCATTTGAAGCTAGCTTAGCGCGTGCACAACTGTACCTGCGAATCGGCTAATAGGGAAAGTTTTTCTTTTCTCGACTTGGCTCATTGCCCGGCTGCATGTGCCACGGGCTGAGCCAATTTCGCAAATGTAACGACCTTTTTAATATTTGTCTAAACTTTTATATGCGCCAGATCTTCGCTGGTGTGCTATCGGCTGTTTTCCTTGGTACTCACCTAGGACGACCAGCTTGACGGGCCGAGCATTTTCTGTGTACCGTCGGGTATTCTCCGCCTCGCACTGCCATTTGCCGTCATCCTCGAGCATGACATTGGTGATGGTTAGCGCTCCATTAGCCTCCTTGATAAAGCGATAGTCGGTGACGCGCGTCGTGCGGTCCATGGCATGCACCACCTGCGGGCAAATAATGAGAGAGAGAGAGAGTGGGTGAGTGGGTTTTGAGGCATTAAACGTAATGTCTACTGAGTTGCAGCCACTGTGGAAATTATGCAAATGCCTTTGGCCAACTTTTAATGCAACACCCACAAATTTTTTGATAAATTCAATGATCCTATCGCACCCTTGATGCTATCCACCAGTTATACAGCTCCCGTTCAGTTGCCATGTGTGTGAAAGAATTGTTTTTTCACTCGTAATATTTTAATACGAGCAGCTTTTATTTACACTTTTATTACAATTCACTTCAAACAAACGAAAATAATGATAATTTAAATGCGTTTGTGCGGCGCCCCAGCAAATCCACTGAGTACAGTTACTGTAATGTGGCAACAATGAACTCTTACTGGCTTACAAAAATATGAAAAACAAGAATGGACGTTAAATTGCGGCCAATAGTTGTCCTGCCCGTCTCTCTGTTTGTCTGTCTGCCTGTCTGTGTGTCTGGTGGCTCTCGGACTGGGCTTAATGTTCAGTGAAATTTATGTGCGCATTCAAATGCTGTACAAAAATATGAAAAATATTCGTAAATACGATGGTAAGTGCGGTGCGTGCTTATTGGGGGCGTGGAAACATTCTTTTCAGCATTCATAAATAATTTTAATTGCATTTGCACACCAGAGCTTAACCTTTAACAGCGCATTAAGCTGTCGCAAATACTCATAAGCTGCCCGTATCCTTAAAGTTCCCGGATCTTACGACTATATCATAAGGATAACGCGAGTACTGCGCCAATAGTTTTAGATAACGAACTTCTAAGAAAATGATCTATATTTCTTATTAAACTTTTTGTAGAAATATTAAATTATCTAGGTATTTTAAATTATTTCTATGAATTTAGTTTCTCACTTATTTTAGAGTTCTTTATTCTTCTTTTTGGCAAACAACTCTGTGATTCGCGGAGCTGCAAATCTATCGCAGGTTAGGATCTCACATAAAAAATGGACAACAATTATGGAAAATCGAAAGCAAAAAGTGCTCGACTAACAAATACCCCGTATTTAATTTGAATACGTGAAAATAAAATTGATTAAAAAATATTGTTTTTATTCTTTGTAGTTTTTTGAATGAATAATATATATTTCGTGCCGAAAACTAAAAGAAAATAATAACTACAATAAATAATAACTAAATACAAAATATAGAGCTAAAATATTTTTGCACACAACTCTGTTGTTTTCCTACATAATGCGCTCGGCTTTTCGTAGATGAAGCCAAATATAATAAATTAAAAAAAAAATATGTATGTAAAATAAATCTGTATGAAGTGTAGTATAAACAAAATATTTGTATTCCGCGCTTCCGTTTCCGTTGCGTGCGAGTTTCAATTATTTGTTAGAACCCTTTCCTCTCGCAGCTACTGATTTTTTTTATAAATTTTTGAAAAGCAGCGCAAATATTTATGCGTGCCTGGATTTTAGCAATTTTTTCTTGCTGACTTGGCAGCGTGTTTTGTGCTATCTGTGTGTGAGTGCGTTTATGTGTGTGTGGCTCGGCTTCCGCTGAGCATTTGCTGCAGTCGCCGCGGCGGCCATTTCAGAAATTTATTAACCAGCGGCCGACGCTAGACGCAACGCATCGCATCGCATCGCATCGCATCGCAACTGGCAACTGGATTTTCAGACTGTGCAGCGACGCATTCAGTTGGAAATTTATGAGGTAACATGGCACAGAGATGCCAGTTTTGGCGACTGCACACCTGCAGCGCTCTCTGTATGTGTTTGTGTGTGTGTGCGAGAGATTTTGGTGGGGCAACATGGCCGCTAGACAAAAGCGTTAAATGAGCGTGGCAAATCCTTGTTTACAGCGTCGAGCGGCCAGCGGATTACACGCTCGATTGTTTTGGCCACCCGAGCCGGACCCAAAGTCCAGGCCCAGAGCCGGCAGCCAGTTTGCTGGCCATTGTTGTGGCATTAAATCTCACGCATGCGACGGCCTCGCAGCGATCTGTTTTCTGGTAATTATGATTTTTCGCCTTTTTGTCTGCCATTGTTGTTGTAGTTCTTTTTTTCCTTTGTTTTGCAGCTGCCTCAATTCGCATAAATTGTTGCATATTTGAAGGCGCATTTGAGTTTAACATGCGCATAACTTTGCATAATTTGTGGCATCGTTATCTGGCGACTGCCATTTTTGGCTTTCGGTTTGGTTTTGGGGTTTGGGCTTGGGTTTTAGTTTTGGTTACGTGTCTATTGCAGATGGTGACATAGCCAAAACTAAATGCTATTTTTTCTGTTATGTGTTGGGCTGGTATTTTTGCATTTGCTCTTGGTATTTTCTAATTGCGTTGTTTTAATTTTTGTCCATTTGCAATTTACAATTTACATTTGCCGTGAGAGATACGTATTCGCACATTTTATATGTGCATTCGCTGCCCAATATTTATGACTCTGTACAATTATGCAAATTTCTGTTTAGCCGGTTATATGATTTAATTATTTTACGCATCCCAAATATAAAAATATATACATATATTTATACATTAAGCATTGCTAGTTGTGTTTCGGTCAAATGGCATGCAGCAAATAATATTTGTTGTTAGCAACAAACATAGTTTTTACACATGAATTGCTACAATTTTTCAACATTTACATTTCAACATTTCATACTGTATTTTTCAAAAAATATAAAGGATATATCTTTATATGAAAGTATATAATATGATGTTGTTCAAATTGTAACGTAGGAGACAAGAAATCTTAATATGCATTCCAGAGTTGGGGAATAATTGTATGGACTTATATTAATAAGCTCTTGCCTTTCTTAAAATATTCATTTACATGTCCAAAAGAACAATCTAAACATTTACAACATATTCGGCAACCTAATTTTTCTAATTAAAATTATTTTGAATATGGGTTTAATTGCCCTAATTAGTTAAGCACTAGATACCAAGCTTTTAGTTTCTTTAGTTGCATTCAATCTACTTGTTCAAGCAAACAGTCAGCAGAGAGTAGAAGTAGTAAAGGAAGTCGAAAAATGACTACATATATGTAACACTCTTATTCTCTTATTCTCCCGCCGGCTCTCATGCTATCTCTCTCTGTCTCTGTGTTTCTCTCTCTCTGTGTCTTGCTTGGAATTGCAAAAATCTTGTCAGCAAACATTACTCGCTGCCTGTCGCTGGCGCTGCCGTTGCTGTTGGCCCAAAGCTACTAACTTGAAATTGCTTTCGGCAAATATATTAGCCTCTTGATAATTTTCAACAATAAATTCTTTGGCACACACACTCACACACATGCTGCGGAGCGAGAGGAATGGGGAGTTTGGCAGCCACTCAAAGTAGCTAAGGCTAGCTGCATGACTGCATAGGGACCTCCAATGGATTGTGCAGCGCTCCAGAAAGTACAACAAAAGTCGCTCATGTTGCAAGCTGTCAGTGCAACACTTGTCGCATGTCATTGCCGCAGTTGCACTCGCAATGGACACATGCGGAGCGGTGCGGGCGAGGGTATTTCGAGCGAGTGTGTTTGTTGCAGAGTTTGCTGAAGACAGCGCACAAGACGAAAGTCAGCGAACAGCAGCTGAAATGCAATTGCAAATGCTGTTTGCAACGTGAGCAGGCAGTGGAGGTGGCGCTCTGGCGTGGGTTGATAATGATAAAATATATTTGTTAAGCCAAGAGCAGTCAAAGCGAAGACATTCAAATGCTCTATTTCAGAAAATTCTATAATCTCTAAAGTTATCAATTCAGTTCTTATTGTTGGTTGCATATTAATTATTAATTTTAGGTAACAAAGGATATATTTTAAGCTTCCAGAATTAAAAAGTCCCCTGATTGTAATTAAAATTGATTGTAATTAAAATTCATTGAGTATTTTCTGATTTTCTATTTAATATATTGTAGTATAATTATAAAATCTAAACTCAGACGAACCAAACCTGATTCGATTGTCAGCCTTTAAGGCAACCAGCTCTTTTTCGAATGTAGTTGAATTAATTGAATTAGTAAGCAAATCGTAGTTTCGTAAAAGCCAGTTTCGTAACCCGTATTGATCGAGCTGTAAATTGAAGAGCTGCAAAGCTTATATATTTCAGAAGCCCTCTTAATAATCATCTTAATTTGCTGCTTTTGGTAAGAGAAGAGCATTTTAATTGTGGCGCAGCTGTGGCGCGACTATCTCAGGCAACGTCTCACATTGTTGCCGCATCATTGTTGTAATTGCAGCCGCCGTGGTTCAGCTGCCCCTTTCCAGCCCTAGTCTAAAAAGCATGTGCTCCGTTCATGTCTTCGCTTACACATGGTTGGCTTTTGTTTTAACACAACTAATACAATTGCACCGTGGGGAAATGTTGCCTCTGTCGTTGCTGCTGCTGTTGCAACGTCAGCGGCGTTGATTTTATTTGCTAGCGAGCAAAGCTGATGAAGTGGAGTGAAGCTGGAGCTGAGGCATTCCCGGCCAGAGTCCCGACACTGTTACTAACTTAATAAAGTTGTCAAAGGTACAAAGTAAGCGGCGTGTTAGCAGCTTGCCACGCCCTCTGCAACAGCCGCTGACGTTGCATTGTTGCTTGATTTTCATTTGGGGATTTGCCGCCTTCAGTCTGAGTGATTAATTTCTTGGCTTGATGTGATTTACTTACAACTGCAGTCGCTGCCGCAGCTGCTGAGCACCACCGAGCACCGCCAAGCGAATCACTCTATTAATGTCATGCATTAAGTTTTGCCCTGAGTCTTCTAATTGACTAATGGAGGCTTAAGGCGGCTTTTGACAGCCAGACCCTTTGAGATTTATGTGCTCCTAGCTGCTGGTAGGCCACATAAAAAGCGCCAGCTCCCGCCACCAGACAAAGTCTGTTGACCTTAAACCTGAGCCATGACAACAGCAACAAACAGTGGGGGCTATAAATAAGTTGCAGCCTGCCAAGCGCCACAAAGTATGCAACAATGGCCAACGAGCAAAGATGCAACCATAAAAACGACGCATCACTTTTACTCACAACGATATGGCCGCAAAAATGTAGGGTATCCCAGGCTGGCTATACTGCAACTGAATGGGAATTCAAAAACTCAAATATCAGAAACCACATTTCATCGAAGTATTTATTGGTCTAGACAAAGATTAAGCCTTCTCATATTTTAATATTTAATTTTTCAGATTGTTATTCAACTGAAAGTAAATAAAATAAAAATTTTTAAAATTTAATTTAATGTTTTTCGAAACTGTTCTTAATATTTTATAATTATCGAATGCAAATTTTTTTATATATTATATATAATTTACAGTGATTACAGTATTAAATCACATGCGTAACTAAAACTGAAATTTTCTACCAATTTTCACAACAGTCGCCCTCGAGTAGAGTATACCGGTTTGTCATAGCTGTCGCTTCACATAAGTTGTTGTTGCATAGCTGAAACTTAAAACCGCAAGCTTTATGTCTGGCCGTTGTCGCCTTTGAACATATTGCACAATAAAAGCTAGCAAATTGCGCGTAGACAAAAGCTTAGCCCAGCCTTGTGTTTAAAGGCCGAGGCTGGTTGCAGATGGGGTCGAGGCAGCTGCAGAACAACGTGTGCAAAAACAGTGCAACAAATTTTTACGGCAAATAAAAACAAACGCAATCGATAGATGCGAAATGTCGCAGAGATTGCAAAGTCATCTGATTTTTTTGATAGCACAAACAAGTGCAGCAATCAGGGACAGCAGGCGACACAAGCCAGCAGCGAGAGCAAAGACGTGCCTGTCACATTTGGTGTGTGCAATACGCCAAATGGCAGCTGTTGACAGCCAATTTGGTGGATTTTTTCCAGCGATGGTATTTCTTAAGTTACGCGTTTCGACTGCGTGCAATATTGAATTTAATTTTCGTATAGAATAAACAGCAGACACCGTGCACAACAACAACAATAACAACAACAACGAGGCCAACTGCTAGTCAACATTGGCAGCAACAATGTTTGCATGCGCCGCCCATAAGTACGCAACGCTTTTTGCCAAAACCAACGCTCACACACACAGAAACACCTGGGCCAGGTGCTGGTTGAAGCGTCAGTGAACTGCCAAGCCAAGCCGCAGACCAACAGCCGAGGCACGTACACAGAGTGCTGCTGTTGTTGTTAGTGTTGCAGTTGCTGCTGTTGTTGTGTTAGTTTCAACTATTATTTGCCCATCAACAACTTGGCCTGCCCACTCGTTGCTGTTGCTGTAGCCGTCGCCGTTGTTGCAATTTACACTACACAAGAGCAGCGCTAGCAACAACAACAACCACAATACAAACAACACTGAACAACGGCAACTGCAAAATAAACAAGAGGAGTAAAGTAAGTACGACAAGTCGAGCACCGCACAGATGTTTTGTTGTTTATACATAAATATATATAGCTTGCCTCAAGTTCTGTAAAATGACTTTCTGATGAAGTCATTATGATAAAAAACTAAATTGTAAAGATCACAAGCATTTTCTTTGTTTTAATTTCATATTATTTATGCTTAAATAATAATTATATATTATTTGCTAATATCTTTACGAAAACTTTGATTCTATTTTTAAATTAAATTCAATTCCGTTAAAAAAAGTTGTTAATAAAATATATTAAATATGTTCAATGAAGAGCTTTTGATCAAATTCTGTAATAAAATTTTGAAACGTTTGCAATAATTCCTTTGAGCTCCACCGTTGCATACACTTTTTCTGCAACTCTCAGTTTTTTTCGTGAAGTTTCATAAATTTCAACGTGTGCGTGATGCATACTATCATCCACAGTTTTTGCTGGGCTGCCACGGAAAATGTTCTCGACTGCGGCCGCTGGCTGGCAAAGCGGTTATAATTGCATTACGCCGAAAGGTAGACTAGCTTTTTGCCCCTCCACGCCGACTGTTTGCACTTGCAATTACAACTCAATAACTTTTGCCGGCTGGTTGTTAACTTTTGCGCCATGTTTGTTAATTTTGTTGCAGCTTTTTGGCTCTTTGGAGCTGCTGTTGCTGCTATTGCTCCTGCAGCCAGCTGTTTACTTTTTTTCAATTTAACTCGTTAGTTAAAGCACGGGCAGCAGCCAAAAAATAGTGTGGGACTGTAATTTGCATTTGTATAATATTTCGCTGCAGCTCGAGGGCGTTGCCATAGAGCACAAAGTTGTAATTAGAAGTCGGCCATTGCATATAAAAAAACAAAAGCCACCAGTTAGGCCACGACTCGGCAGGGGTTCATAAGGAGCAGAGGGCAGCAGGTCCTCTGACAGATGAACTCTTAAAATGCTTTTGACATCAGAAACTATCAAATAATAACGATTATCCTATTTGCATAATGCGGCATTTAAACGACAAATAAGCAGAAGCACAAAAGCCAGACAGAGAATGGAAATGAGAATGGTTGAGAGACAGGCACAGATAGAAAGAAAGAGAGAGAAGAGGAGAGGTGACACTTGAGACGTCTGACAGGAAGATAGAAGACAGCATCCGAGGGGCAAAAAGGGAGAGACCAGTGAGGACAAAGGACAAACGTAGTGCAGGCGGCAATAAAAAACAACTAAGAATGTTCTTACTCAAACTATGCGTCAAAACTATAAAATACCCTATAATCAAATAAAAAAGTTGTATTAGATTAAATATAAGTATAATACAATTTTAAGTGCTGTTGTTGCTACACGTGTTTCATTTTAAAAAGATATTATTTCGCCTTCTCAGAGGTGTTTGATTTATTCATCGAGTTTTTTTAATTAATTAAATTTTTAACTATATATTTTTCTACATAAATATATCTATATATATATATATATATATTAGATACTTTTTTATATACGATTTCTTTACCATATAAATATAAAATTAATTTTATTTAATTTGATTTATAAAAGTTTGAACTTAAAAACGATATATTTCTCTAATATACTGCTATTATATAATATGAGTCGGTTGGTGGTTTCTATTTATATTTTTACTCATCCGCTAATAAACAAAAAGCTCGAACTTAGACACCCAAAAGGCACTAACTAATGGGTAGAAATATTAAAATGCGAAAACTGCGAGACAGCTTAAGAGACCCAAAGGAAGCGCTAGTAGCTAACGGGCCGCACAAGAATGCAATTAAAGTCAAAAACTGCAAACAAGTTGGCACCTCCGACAGTTGCATTTAGAGTTGGCTGACATTGGGTAGGTAAAGTAAAGTAGCAATTGATGTCACTTACCTGGCCATTCTTGTACCACATGCTGGAGGATATGTCCAGGTCAACCTCGCACATCAGCCTAATCTCTGAATGCTGGTCTGCATATACCACCGACATCTCCTCATCCTCGTACGGATTGGGCAGCACAGGACGTAAAGGCAACGCCCGCGGACCCTCCAGAGGCCCTTCATCGTCCAATAGGTCTGCCTCGTCTCGGCTCTTCGCAAACAAATCGCGTGTGGCAGTGCCACTATCAAATTCTTCCACATCATCAATAATAATGACGGGCTCCTTAGGCTTGGGCTTCAAATCTTCCGGTGCCAGATGCACCGTAGATCGCGCACGCTTCGCTTTCATCGTTGTCAAAAGCCCAGCGAGCGATCTATTTGTATACGCCGCGACGGTGGCACTGGTTGCCACTGTGGTGGCGCTGGACATAACTGTGGGCAACTCAAGTTCCTCCTCCTCCGTCTCCCGACGCAGTCGCGGCTTAGCCTCCTTGTGCAGGACCGCACGATGGGCCTGGTGCACACGATGGTTTTTCAGCTGCGCCTTCCATTTGGCCACCTTTGCCTTGGCACAGTTCTTGGCACATTTGGAGGGTTTACTGTTGTGACCCACCAGCTTACGGTCAACTGCTAGCTGGTGCATTCTCTGTGCATCCACTGCTAGCTCGAACGAGCTTTGCGCCAGAAGCGGCTTCTGCTCTGATATGCTGCGCCATTTGCTGGCTGCGTGCTCGGCGGGTGTCGTCTTCGGTAACGACTTGGCATTGATATTTTGTTGCTGTGTATAGGTGGTGCCTGGAAGAATAAAAGTCGATTAAAAATATATTAAAATTGAATTGAATAATATATATATAACAAAATATTAAATATATATAATAACTGGGGAAGTAGATGTTTCAGTGAGATGATTTTCAATTTATAGATTGCCAAAGAAACTATGAAAGCACACACACTTAAGTAAATAAATACTTCGAGATATTGTTCTGAGGTATCGACTCAAAAACGAAATATTTATGATATTAATCATAGATAGCATGCATCATATATTAATTCTGTCAAACTATATTTCAGTTTTCTATTTGTTGACGAGTAAATAATTAGTTGTCATTCTCTTTAAAAGCCCAATACAGTGCTCAAAGTCTTACCTTACAATATCGCTGCACAGCAGTGACCCAAATGCGAATGCATGAACAATTCAATTTGCACGTATCTAACAGCTGCCTTGGCAACAATGCTGGGACAATGCCCCAAAGGAGGTCGTCCGGAATACCTGACCAAAAGTGATGCAAAAATGCCAATGGCAATACTTTGGGAATGGGAGTATCAATTACATTGCACTGTAACGTGTAAATATCACAGAGCACATGCGCTTACAAGGCTCATGCATTTATTTATGATATTTTACAGTGGGCCCCCCAAAAATTGTGTGTGCTGAGCAACAGCTCTATTTGGGTTAGGTAGACTGAGGCGCCCAACTGCAGAAATGTGTTGCCGTATGTATGCAAATCTTTTGCTAATCCTTTGCCATGCAAAGCAATTTTCAAGCCTAACTTTTGTTTGGCTGCCAGCCTCCACAATGAAGTAGGAGTAGACGAATATACTCAAACTCTGGGGCTGTTGTCACTTTGGCAACTCTGGATATTGTCTGGCGAAGGCTGCTGCTACTGCAGCTTCTGCTGTTGATAAATTTACACAAGTGTATGACAAGCTTTCAAATGGTAATTAATATTCATCTGAGACGGGGGCCATCAAAAGACAACGCGTTCAGTATCTCATTCCCAGTCACAGTGCCTATAGTGCCCTCTCTGTCTAGCGTACATTGTCCACCTCCCACACACATATAGGGAGTCAACTGTAGCCGGCAGCTAGGCGCTTTGGCAGCCAGTGTGGTAAGCTGACAAAAGCAGTGGCAACTCCAGTTGGTTGCAACCCTATTCTGTTTTGGGCTCCACGGCCATTGTCATTGTCTTTTGTCTCAGCCCTTTCCTGGTTTGGGGGCGGTGTTGCTATTCTTTTTACAGTGGGCGGGGCGGGGAGCTGTACGGGAGTGTGCTTTTCCTGTTGCTGTCGGTGTTTGTAGCTAAATTAAAGTTGTCATTTTTCAAGTGAACGCACAAAAGTATGCATTGCGCCTAATAAATTTGCACTCAGCAACTCTGGCAACCCTACCAATGCGCTCTCTCGAATTTCCTGGCTGAGGCACTCATAGGCATAACTTAACAGCCCGTCCAAGTCATTTGCACAGCAGGCGGCAGTCGTGTGTGTGCTTGTGTGCAAAGACTTATAGCCATACACACATACGCACACACACACGCACACACATACGACACTCACCCAATTCAGAGAGGACAGGCTGCGTTAAAATGTTTTCACAACAGCTTAAAAGTCTGCTACACTTTTTGCATAGGCAGCCAGCCAAGTTGTATGTCTGTGCGTGTCCATGTGCGCGCGTGTGTGTGTGTGTGTGTGTATGTGTTTGTCTTGTTTGTTTACATGCAGTTGTAGTTGTTTGTGCTGTAACTTAAGTTGTAAATGAAGATTGCGCCGGAAATTGCACAAAACTGACAGCGTCTTCACTGTACAACCGACTCAGCTACCCAGCCCCAATCCTTGTCCTTCCTATCTTCTAGCCTTGCTCCGCCCCCGCACCGCTCGGCAGAGCTCTTTATATGCGTGTAAATTTAATGAAGCTGCCATCCACGCAAGCGAGTTGCGAGTTCCCAAAGAAAAGTGGGCGCGGCTCATGCTCATGCATTTCGGGGCGTTGCAAATTTCTCTGGCATACACGAAATACGTTGCATACGTTGCGGCGCATAAATTGCGTGTGGTGTTCTGTACGGAGCCACGGTTGAAGGGGGCTGCTTGCCCCGAACTGAACCCAACGTTGTTGTTTGGCAGTTAATAAAATTGTTAGTTTTGGGGCTAACCTTGTTGGCAGCGTGTTGCTCATTAGGCGGCTGAACTTGGTAGTCGCAAAACTCTGAAAAGCCAGTTGATTGGTTAGGTAATACACACATATTGAGGCGTATTGGCAAGGAAAGGCAGTCGCAATAAGTTTGAGTATTTACCGGTGCAACTTTATTTTAAACTTGGAATATACACTTGACTTATATATATATTTTGTAAGCTGAATGAATTAGAAAAAAGTATATAATTGGCAGCACAGATATTAAACATTTCTCTGTCGTGAGGGTGATATTAATATAGAGTTGTCGATATGATGGATAGTCTTTCATTTGTAAAGTCTTTTTTAAATAAAAATGGAACATGAATATGTGTTTTCTATCATTGGATATTTTCTCTGACTTTTTTATTATTGCTGGCAAATCAATGCAATTTTGCTATAATTGCAATGTTATTTGCAAAAATCATGCTGTACAGCGCTTCGTGGGGAGAGTTTCGCACTAAATGACAATTATGACCAGTCGACAGTTTGTGCACTATATATGTATAAATTTATATATACGTAAATAGACACAGTTTTTTCCATTAGGTCTCTGTGCGCTCTATCAATATGCAAAATGGCGATTGCATTTTCATAAACTGGCAAAGGGTGTACGTAAGGCCGCTTGCCCAGGGGCGTGCTGGGCAATCAAGCGCTGACATAATTACATGCTCGTATGCGAATATGTCAGCCTGATTACAGGCTCGCTCGTCCATTGATGAGAGCGGGGGCGCTGCGATGTGCACATGTAACAAGCAAATTTCATTGATTTTTTTTTCATTCTGCGCTGCACTGTGCCGATCGTTTTTGCCAGGCAAACATGCAAACGACATGCAGTTGAGTTGCATTTTTTAATATTTGCTTCCTTTTTTATTTAACCTCTTTTGCATTGCTTTACAATGGAGCGTTGCCAGGGCTGCCTACACACTTCAACTCTTTTTTAATTATGTCAACAATAATTTAATGCACTCGGATGCTGTGTGTGTATGGATCTGCTTGTGCTGCCAATAATAATATTATTTTATGTAAATGCCGTGCACTCTAATAAAAAATATTACCGAGCTGCAAAAAATTCCATGTGCTTATCAATGCAAATATAAGTGACGAAAAAAAAATGGGGTATATAAAAAATGGAAGTCGGGTGCATATTCAATATGTATTTTTTCTCGAGAATCGGGTGATTGCACTTGAAAACATTATCATTTGAGATAGATATGTGTTATAAATGTAAAATGGTATTTGTAAATTAGCGAATAATCAATGGAAACTTTTTGATTTAAATAGGGTTAGCTTAAAACTTTAATGGGCAATGAAAGCGTTAGTTAAGTACGTAACAAACGAGTCCACGAAAGCATCAATAATTAGATCAATACGAGTATTTATATGAGTTCAGTTGGCTTCAATAATTTTCAAATATTTAATGGCTTCATTTATTTCGCTCACATCTTTGATTCTACTCTTGAACTGCTTTATTACTAGAGTTGACGAAATCTTATGGTATAATAGCAAATCCTTACCAATCTCCATATAAGTATTTTTCAGCAATGCGTACTCTATGGTATATACACACAAAAACGGAGGCTATGGAGCAAGCATTAATTCATAGGGTAGTCAATATTCAGGACAGCCCACCGACAGCCCCATCATTAAGCAGACTTCAATTGTCAACACAATGCCTGTGCTCTGCATGCAACGCCCTCCTTTCATCGTCTTTTTCAAGTTCCTTTTGCTCTTGTTGCACATGTGCAGAGCGTTGCGCACAGAGCGTTGATTAGGTTAATGTCCTTAAGGCATAATACCAGCAGCTGGCTTTCCACTTTGCTCCCTTTGGAGACGACAGTCAAAGGCAGCACTTTAAACTGCCACGCCCGCCTGCTTTTGCTGTTGCTGCTGCTGTTGCTGTTGCGGCCTCTGTCTTCACGGTGCTCGCATGTGTAATGCATTGGCTGCAGCTGCAGTGGCAATTGCACCTGGACGAAGCTGGCTTCTGGCGTGCATTGTTTAAGTTTCATGACGTCGACAACTTTGGCAACCGCCACTTAATGCAAGCAAAGCCATGAGCAGCAGGACGTGAGGCTGGGGCAAGGCGTGGTTGTGCCCGTGTCTGTACTCTGTGCTTGCACTTTGCCTCGGTATGCCGTGCGGCTTTTGTGGCAATGGCTGCGTGGCAAACCAGCAAATACTTAACAATAACAACAACAACAACAACAACAACAACAACAACTGTGTAAACGCCAGTTGTGCGCGTTTTGGTATTTTTGCCAGTGCCCCGCTTCAGCTCTTTCGCTGTTGCTTATTTGCTATTTAAACTAAAAGCCTTTTAATCGATTCTAAATGGGCTGCAAAATTATTGTGTTAATATGCATTCGGCATTCGGCACTCGGCTCAAGCCATGTAAACACAGCAATCGTCTTGCAAATTAAACCATTTTCAGACATTGCGCATACAACGTGTGGCCTTGTGGCTATGGCCAAGGCGGCAACACGAAATGGAAAGTTGACAGCATCTGCCTCTCACCAGCCTGCAGTACTAACTACTAAATAATTAATTAATTAATGTGCTACAAGTGCAATTTGATTGCCTTCGTCTTTGCTATACACTCTCTATACACTTTGGCAGGAAGAAGAAAATACCTGTAGGTAATGCATACACTTAAATTTATTTATGCAACTCAAAAGCCATATGCTAATTGGCATAAATTCAGGAATTTCGTGAGACAGTCCAAATTATTGACAAGTTTAAGCATAAATAATTGAATTAAAAAATCAATAAAAGCATTAAAAACAAGTTGAACGAAAAGAATATTTGAAACGAGCTTGCTTGAATAATAATTATAAATAAAAGAGAAGAA